TTAAAGATTGCGTAGACGTAAAAAACGTGTGTTCGATTATGGAGGTCACGATGAACCGCCGGTTAATTTAGAATAAAAATTTAAAATTTCATTTCAATTATGTAAATGGAAGATTTGAGCTTCTAACGAGTCATGCTCAAAAGTTTCAGTTTTTTGCACATTTTAACGAATTTTGTGAACTACTTAGATGATGAAACTTTGGAATTGGAACGATTTACAAATTGCTTTAAGTGATAGCGAAGAAAGGGATGGAAATGCTCCAGAATTATATAATGAAATAAAAATATTTGAAGATACAATAATAGAAATAAAGAACTGCACTCCATTTCACATGTTGCGATATATATGCTCTAACGATTTATTTGGTGTATGTATTTCCAAATTTCGTTGAGAATACTACTAACCCTTCCAGTGACAGTAGCAACCGTCAAAAGATCATTTTCACAGTTAAAATTAATTAAATCGTATCTACGATCCAGTAATTCGCAAGAAAGATTAGTTGGACTAGCATTGATAGCTATTGAAAGTGAAAAAATTGACACGAACAATATTTTAGACGAGTTTGCTGCAATGAAATCCAGAAAAATTTTATTTTGTGTATGTAGCGTATGCTTCAATTTTTGTAATATATTTTTATATTTATGATTGATTTATTATAATTTTATGTATGTTAGTTCAGTGGCGGCTCGAAATCCCTATTGCAGTCACCAGTGCGAACAAAAATTACGAAAATTGAGAAAATGATTTCAGAAAATGATGAAAGTTTTTCGGAAGCGCTGCAGAAATTTTATTTGCAAACTGTAGAGCTTCGGCAAAGACTCCCAAATAATATTTTCTGTTGAAAAAGTGCTCAAACATCAAAAACAATCAAAATTGCGAAATTGAGACTGAATACGAGAAAGTTAATTTTATAGATTGGAAAAGTACAAGTGACACCATTAATAAAGTGCTGTTTCATTGATTCGGAACAAAAAAATATTATTTTTTTACATATGAAGCAAGAGTAAGAGAATTATCAAAAATCCCTTGTGATGAGTGTGTTGATCTCATTGTGGAGACAGATCCTACTCAGAAAACAAGATTGGTTTTAGCTAAAGATAACCACAATGCTTTAACAACACCCTCCACATTAACAAAAATGATTTGCGATCATGCGGAAAAATCATTGAAACGAGTAGGACTAAATGGCTAAAATGTCATAACAAAACTTTTTATTGCAACATTACAAAGTATAGGTTTTGATTTTTTTAAAAAGTACGATCACTTTTTTGAGATAAATGAGACAACATCAGATGTTAGTGAATCTCATTTCAATACATTAATCAAAACTATTTTTAAAAAATATTGAAGCCTACGTTTACGCCACTTTTGTTTTTTAGAAACAGAGGGAGAAAGGGGTGTAAACCAGCGGCAGAAATTTCATAAATTAGTTTTGTTTAAAGGACAATACAATATTTGAATATTTGTTTTCTTTAACCCTATATATACATTTTCAGTGTTTTTTTCTATGTGCAATGTACAATCGGTGGACGTACACAACTGGAAGGTCATTTTTGTAGTTTATATGAAGTCGATTGTATACGATTTTAAACTTCCCGCGGTTTCGGTCTATATAGGTGTACTTGAAGTCTTTGCCTATACTGCACCATTTGGCGTCTTCGGATTGTTTTCTTCGTTTAAACTGTTTTTTGCCATATAGAAATTTCGTTTTTGTGTGGGGTGGCGATAAATGGGGGCAAAAATACTCACGATAAAAAGAAACATAACGCGGGTTTGAAAATCAGCACGAAGCTACGTCTTGAAGAACTCCTTTCCTGATAAAATCGTTGGGAATTGGCTCCAAAATCGGGTTGTATTTTTATGTAAATATGGTTAGGGGTATATTAATGATGGTACAGATCACATTAATAGAACCGCTAAAAAATTTAAAATGCTTACTAATGATAAAAACACCAAAGGTTGTTAAAAAAGAATTCGAGTCAGGTAGACAGAATTATTAAGTTACCGAATTTTCAGAAAAACTAGATAATTGCGTATTATATTTTTTATCTGTGGCTAAAAGTTGGGATCTCTTTTTACCCATAAATCTAAAGATCTTTGAAACAAGGTTCCATGATAATTTTTCAAGTAAGTTTAAAAGCGATTAAAGTTAAAATATGTAAGTCGTTGCGATGTTTTCCATGACAATTTAACTCATATAAAAAATATCCCATATATATATTATATTTTAAGTCATATTGCAGAAATAGATCGCTTTTTGTACAGTACAGGAGGCACAGATCGTCAAAATTTCTACAAAAATCGGGGGTATCTCAAGGCTCAGTCTTGGGACCATTATTTCTTATTCTTTTCATAAATGATTTGACATCGAGGTTGCATATACCATATTTACTCTATGCTAACGACTTAAAAATTTATCACCGTATTGACTCCATATAAGATTGCACTATTGCAGAGTGGGGTCAATCATATTGTAGACTGGAATTCCAATAATAATAATCTGACTTTAAACAAAGATAAATGTTACATTTTATCTTTGTCTCAAAAATCTTCAGATATTAGTTTGGAGTAAGTCTGGTTTCTAGTAGCACCTATTCCCATACCAATGAACTGCTTAGTTGTTTGAATATTTCCATGATGCCAGAGAAACAATTCGATCATATTTAAGGTCCATGTGACCTTGAATTATTGGTGGTTATTCAAAATGAAAATAATGATCCTGCCGACAGGCTCATGAACATTGTCTCAAGATTTGAAATGGGTAAGCGATTGAACCTGATTCAATGAGGCTCTTATGAAATGTTTTCTAGTGGAAAACAAAGTATCAATAAAAAAAAAATAATAACACAGAGAGGAAATAAAGAATATGGGCTGTACACAGATATACCTGAAATAGATCCAAATATAATCAAGATGGAATGCGAACTCCTTGTGGAGAAACTGAAGGTAATAAAGTTGGTTTAACAAAAAAATTGTTGTTATGTCATCCAATATAAATTTATAGGTCAGTCAAGAAGACAGGGATCGAATTGGAAAAATAAACGCGATGTTTGGACCTGTAATAAAGAGAAGAACACATACTCTTGCCACAATATTGTCAAGGTTTGTTTGATCCAAAATCATTTCTATTCAGAAGCTGTAGAATATGGTATTGTTAAAGAGCAAGTTGACAAAGATCAAAAGAAATATGAGAGTAGAAAAATCAGGTCTATGGGTTGACTTCGATTATGGATTTCTTGGAGCTTCTCCTGATGGTAGTTTTTTGTTTTTTCGTATACCTAGTGTTTATGTTAATATTTATATAATATTTTATAAACATGGCATTGAAAGTGTGATGTAAAAATGCACTTACAACAATTTCAGGAATCGTAGGGGACGCTGCAATTGTGGAAGTGAAGTTCGGGATCTTAATGCAAACTGTATAGATGACGTCATTAGTAAAAAAAAATCAAAGATAACTTTGAAGAAAAATCACACGTATTACTATAAGGTAAGTATTAACAAGAACAAATGCTACTTCATTGTATACACTAGTGACAAAATGGAGCTCTTTGTAGAAGAAATCGAAAGAGATCAAAAGTTTTGGCAAAGAGCACGTGTTACCAAAATTTATAATTTTTTTTTAAATATTGCATAGGTCTCGAGATAATCGAAGACAATATAGGCCAAGGAAAACGCTGCAAAGATCCTCCATCCATATTAGAGGCTATACAAGAGCATGAAGAAAAAAATAAAACGAAGTTATGGTACTATGTAATTTTTAAAATTTATAGTATAGTTAGTAGTGCTTGTATAAGATCATGAAGTCAAAGCTGACTAGACTAGAAATTTAAAAAATCACCTGTATATCGAATATTATCATCACAGTTATTAATATTATACTCTGAATTGTCAATAAAATGCTTTTCCTTTACATAATTTTAATATATTTTGGTGGGAATGACAAATTGTGATGTTTTTTTTAATTTTATGATTTTCAATAATTAATTTATAACATTAATTCGATTAGTTTCACTATGAAACTTCTTTGTTAGATTCACAGGCATCTCTTTTTGTAAGTCATTTTTCCAACCTTGTTGGTATCTAGTTCTAAAGGTAATAAAAAAAAGTAGATAAGTCAACGGTTTAATATGAAAATCACCGCAGCAGTTTTTTTCATTGGCAACTGAAATCAACAAGTGGTTGTTTTTTAATTTTTGCAAAAACTACATATGATGCAGTTTTGGAGTTTTTTCAATCGATTATTTTCATTATGCAAAAAAACTGCAGTTTACACCTTTGTGTCACAAAAGCTTCGGAAGTATTTGACCATAAAATAGACTCTTTTGTTAAAGGAAACTTACAAATTGTTCAAAAATAGTAATATAAGAATGAGCAAGTATAAAAAAAATTTGAATTAAACAATATCGATTCAAATTTTACTAAGTTAACCGCCTTGGTGCCACGCACACCAAGTGCCCCATCAAGTGTTTTGTCTCAATGTTTAGAGCTGAAAACTTTTTTTTTCAATAGATGTAAAAGCAACAGGGTCCTTTAGTTTTTATAGCACCCATATTAAAAGAAATTTACTTACTAAATTTGTATTTTCAAAAGGCTGATGACTTTCATCACGTGTCCCGCGATGTGAGTAGATTGATATGGTCGCTAGTGGGGCGAATAATGAAATGATGAGCAAAAAAAATGAGATCAAAGACGACTATCGATTTTTTGAAACTTTGTCTTTGATCGCTGCATTTTCACCCCAAAATTTTTAAATTGATCTAGCAAAACGCACATTGTCAAGAATCCGTAGTTGTCTTTGATCGTGTTTTTTATTGATCTCTCGGCATAAACGACGTCTCGTATTCAACTTGCAACGGAAGCGGCAAGCTAATTATACAACGCACCTTGTTTAAAAAAAAAATTGCGTCATTTGACTTCCCAAATTATAAACTACATAAATTGAGATGTTCACAGTTGGGCCAAATCATAATCACAACATGCAAAAATAGTGTACTTACCAACATCAACAACTTCTGGAACATTCATTATTCCATCAGGTGAAAATATAGAACATAGTAAAACAACCTTTCTGTACCACGACGCGTTTCACATAACAAACCTCACCAAAAACCATCATGTTGTAAAACAGACAGCAAAAATTTTACGAGCGTATTCCACCAATAACCGCCGAATCGAAAATGGAAAAATAACCGACCGATGACCGAATGTAAAGCACATGTAAACAGGCAAAGCCAACGCATGCGTATTTCCTCGATGGCGACCGGCTGTGGTAACCGCTGTCCAACCATAACTACCCAATTCAATTAATAAAGTTCCATTTTTAACATCACAATCAAGCGAGTCTTTGTTATTAAATGCAAAAAATCAATATATTGACAAAAGTAAATTTACAATGTATCCATAGGTTATTATTAAGTGACTATGTTATCCAGAAATTCGTGTATAATTGGTTGCCTATAAAATGTGCAAGAAAATTTATGTTACAAAATGGCTAATTAAACCAAAAATATGTAGAACCCAAAATGCAGAGATTTCGTGAATTTATTTTTAAAATTATCACAAATTTTGAAGGTTGTCATCCAAGTCTCAACGTCTGTTGACTTTGAATGTCGTTAAAAATAAAATTTTATTCAAACTAACCACCCCTATTAGCAGTGTTGTGGACAGATGCTTTTAAAAGTATGTAGATACAGATATAGATATATGAAAGATAAAATATTTTTTCGAAATGTATCTAGATACAGATACAAGAAAACAGATACTTTTTGAAGCTTTGGCTAATAAAATAACTGAAAACATGTTTATGTATTTTTCTATGTATTGTATATTGTTTAATAAATTTTTAAAAATTAACAACATTTCGAACGTATTGTCACCTAAATTATTTCTTCTTGGTATCAGAATTTGGTTTCCGCTACTAAACACCCGTTCCACAGGTGCAGGAGAAGGGATTGTGGTATTAAATTTAAAAAATAAACATTTTACTGTAGCATAGTTATTCAAGACTGAAAATATTTTCTTTTTTCCTGCTTCACTGTTTGATGTGTCGCAAATTATGCAATATTTATTACGTACGCTTAAAAAGAATATTTTTTTTTGTTTTTATTCCCATACTACAGTGTCCAAATTGTGTTTGAGTATATCTCCAGAATTAAAATTAATATTTCAAAAGAATACGGGAAATGATTATTCTGTGCTGAAAGTCTGTTGTCGGCAACCTGTCATAAATTATTATTCTTCAATATCGGCTTACGATGTTTTTATGACCATGTCCGGTAATCGTCTGTCCCGGTGCGGCAGGAAGAATAGCTGGTTCCGTTCGAAGGCAAAATTAGTACAATTTCTTAGAAAGGTACGTAAACCCCTTATACTTTGGATCAAAGGCTGCCTGGCAGGCCGGAATCACCAGAGTGCAACTTTAAATTTTCAGATTTTTGTTGAAACTCATTTTATTTTAATCTCGTTTCACGATTTCTGAGAATATATCACGATAAATTATTCTACCGAGGGTTGTAAAATATTAATTTTATTGCCCAAGATAATTACACTTAAACATCATCGGCACATTTTAGGGCAAAACGGACCTGCCAAGCCCGCCTCGAGTTAGATCCAACAATGAAAAAGTGAAGAAATAACACATGTGGCAACAGGAAAAGATGCTACATTTTTCTGAAAAACAAAGATATAAAACAGTAACAAATATGCGATTTATGCGAGAGAAATGTATGTATTGAACATTCGATTAGTCGATTAAAAAACTAATTTGTGCTGATTGAAAAAATTAATCATTATGTACCGCGCAATTATTATTTTCTAAAAATAATAACATCCTTTAAACAAATATTTTTACTCTTAAAATTACTCTTATTTAATAACACAAATACAACCAGCGGGCCTACCGGACCCGGGTTGCTCAGGTACACAGATAAAATGCAGTGCCCCGATAAGCGTAAAACGCAGTGAATAGTGAATTGTGGTTTATGGTTTTTAAAATACCATCTTACCATGGCTTAGATTTATTACCCCTCAGGATTATATTTAAAGATGTATATGTACTGAAGGCTACACTGTAGGAAATGATAGTATTTAAAATATGAAAATTTCCTTGACAGAACACTATTAGTGGACCTCTTACCTCTATTTTTGTTTATGTGACCAAAATCACCAACATGAAGTATCAAAAATTACTACTAGTATAACTCAACTGATAACTACTGAAAAAAAAGTGCAATAAAAAATGTACCTGTATCTGCGCCATTAATTTTGTATCTAGATACAGATATCTTGTGCTTAAATTCGATTTTATCTAGATACAGATACTAGATACCCAAAAATGTGTCTAGATACTTTATTTAGATACAAGTATCTAGATACTGCCCAACACTGCTTATTAGGTACTTTACTCCGAAATGTTAATTTGGAAATACGGCAAAATTTATGGTTTCAAGGGGTTTGTGCATATTATCTTAGAAGGGTGCGGCATCATCTTGATGTGGCTAGATCAATCGGAACTTTCTTTGTTCAATACCTATTATGAATTAAAAACTCTAGGTACGCAAGAATCGTTGCAATTATGTTTCAAATGCGAATGAAGTTCTTATTTAAAATGTTTATATTTTTTGCTTCCCGAGCATAAGCTAAGCATTGTAGACGTTTTTTAACCAGCGGTACCGGTAGGTACTTCCTAGAAGCCAATCAATCTTACATTTTTCTGACCAAGCCGCCCACTTCCCGGATAATGACATATTTCCAACGACAATAATGGACATTTTTCAGACCAAGGTACCTAACTCGACCATTATTCGGTCATTAGAATAAATCCCCTGTTTAATGGAATGCAGGTAAAGTTTGTCTAAGCTCATAACTGCAAACGCCCACAAATACTTTATGAGAGGTTATAATTTTCTGTGTAAAATTCTTAATCAAAGACTTTTTGCCAGGACCGTAATCTGGTTCAGCCATCACTTGTTTACAGAGACCATATTTTCAGTTTACAGAAATTTTAAACACACTGGCATTGATTAAACTAAACAAATTGAAATCTGGTTAGGAGACTCTGACCTTTAATGGATCTTTTGGTCTTTTGTAAGTGGAGGCCATTCCAAAAGAGTTGTTTTTGCAAAATTGTCTACTAATTACTAGTTTATTTGGGGTGTCGTAAAAGTATTTGTGTTTCCACCAAATTAGGCTTAATTAACTACTTTAATATGAATATTTTTAGTAGCTAAATGTGCTTTTTGCTAATATTAACAAATTTAAACCATGAAACGATAAAACTGGACAAAGACATCGTGTCCAGTCAAATGGCGCCAATATTTAACTGTCAAAATTATAAACCTTGATTAGCATGGTGTGAACCTTGATTTTTATAACAATGAGGATTGTTTTGACTCATAGGGGAGAAGGTGGGAATACCGGCCATGAGGGTAATACCGGCCGTCTGATTTTTTCTGTATAACACAAAATTTAGCGAAAGTAATGTACAACTCCATCTGTGGTTCTTATTCCGAACCTTCTATTCAAATGGGCATTGCAGGTTCCATTGATTTAAAACATGAGAGTCGGTTTTCACTTTTCGTGGTAGTTGTTATAGTAAGACGACATTTTCAACGGTGAGTAAAAATATTAATTTTTACGTTATAATGTTTAACTATATTGCTATAAATGGCTGATTAACTGTTCTTTTAACAGTAAAGATTAATTCTTAAGATCACTTTAAACACCAATGCAATGCATGTTGTTAAACATTAGGTGTAAATGGTGGAAATACCGGACGGTGTGTTGGGGGTAAATACGGCCAGGCCGGCATTTCCTCCAATTGTTGGAAATGCAGGTGATGCTATAGTTTTAATATTTCATTTGACAGATGCCACGTAAATATAAACGAAAAACTCAGAGAGCTTCTTGGTCTGAGGAAACGCTAAAAGCGGCATTACTGGAAATTGATAATGGTTCCCCTTTAAGGGCGGTTTCAAGACGTTTTGGAATACCTAGATCAACTTTGCAGGACAGATGTAGAACTAAAAATACTGGTCAGGCGACATTAGGTCGAAATCCTGTGTTTTCAAAAGCTGAAGAGAAGGAACTTGTTGAGCATATAATCCAACTATCTAAAATGTTCTACGGAATTACCCCATTTGAAATAAAACAATGTGCCTTTAAATATGCCATCAGAAACAATGTTAATAACCCTTTTTTGAATGAAGCTGCGGGTAGAGCATGGTTAGAGGGTTTTCTTAAAAGAAATCCTCAAATTTCATTGCGAAGACCTGAAGGTACCAGCCTCAATCGAATAAAAGCTTTTAACAGAGATGAAGTATCAATTTTTTTTAAGAATTTAAATAATGTTATGGATAAATACCATTTCTCTGCAGCACAAATCTTTAATGCAGATGAGACAGGTATCACAACCGTGCAACGTCCAAGCAAAATTTATGCGCAAAAGGGCCAAAAGAGAGTTGGCTATGCTACCAGTGGTGAAAAGGGCAAAACAACCACTGTCATGTGCTCATTCAGTGCTGCGGGAATGTATGTTCCGCCTATGTTTATATTTGCTCGAAAGAGAATGTCCCCTCAACTAAAAAAAAATGGCCCACCAGAAGCAATGTATTGTTGCTCTGATAATGGCTGGATCAACGAGACATTGTTTCTTGACTGGCTAAATCATTTTAAGACTTCTGTTAAAGTTTCGAAAGAGGATCCAGTTCTTTTGATTTTAGACAATCACGTAAGCCACTCCACATTAGGGGCCTACAATTATTGCAAAGAAAACGGCATAGTCTTGCTAACTATTCCACCACACACATCTCATAGGATTCAGCCTTTAGATGTCTCGTTCTATGGCCCATTAAAAACTGCATATCACAATGAATGTGATAAATATTTAAAGAATCATCCGGGAGAAAAAATAACTCCCAACGAAGTGGCAGAAATTTTTAATAAAGCCTTTGCTAGGGTGGCTACTCTAGAGAAGGCACAGAAAGGCTTTCAAACTACCGGAATCTTTCCTGTCAATGCTGACGTTTTTACAGATGACGATTTTTTGGCTGCAGAAAATATTAAAGTTAGTATTGACACTATTGGACCGCATCAAAATAGAGAGGATTTACATAGAGGACTAATTGATCCCATTCAACCAAGTTCAAGCTTGCAAACGGAGTTATTGGAAGAAGAAAACACTCCAGAAACTAGCCTGTCTGAAAAAGTGTCCTTCTCCGAAATAGCACCCATTCCTTCTACGTCTTCTAGTTCATCCGCTGCAAAAAGAGGAACTGGCAAGAAGCAGCATTCAGAGATTGTCACTTTAACCCCAATGAAAGATGTGCTAGAAGAAAAAGAAGCAAGAAAAGCGAGGAAAGCTGAACGTAAAGCTCAAAAAACTGTGAAAAGAAAAGTTTTGTGTGATGATAATTTGACTAAGTCTGTAAAGGATTCTAAAAAAGGAAATATAGTAAAGCAACGAGAAAAATCATCAAGGCGAAAAAAAAGTGTTCAGTATTATGCCGAAGATGAAGAAATGGAAGAAGAGCATTTTTCTGACAACGATATCAATTATGATATTTGCATCATATGTGGCGAATTTGGCAAAAATGGTGAAATATGGTTGAGATGTGTATCTTGTGGCGAATGGGCACATAAAGCTTGTTCGGGCAATGACAACAACGCTTTCATCTGCGACTTTTGCCATTAATGGGGTAATTCCGGCTGCGGCCGCGATTACCCCCCTAATGTGGGAAATACCGGACTTTGCAGACTTTTACTATATAGTGTATATTAATATTTTTAATTGTTTTTATACTTTTAAAAATATATCAGTGGTGAAGCAAAATATATGAAGTAACTTTGACACAAATTTCAGATTACCATAACGCCTCTTTTTCAAAATATTAATAAAATTGCTTAGACGGCCGGCATTTGCACCTTCTCCCCTACTGACGTCTCCGAAAATAAGTAAATTATCGCCCGTTGCAAAATAATAGTCCCTCAGTCCCAAATTAATTATTAATGTTAAATTTAAAACTACTTCTAAACCAAGACATAAGGAGTCCCCAAGATTCTTTAAAAATACTACACAATTGGTCCCTGAGATTCATAAAATTATTAACTACAAAAACAACCCACAAGGAGTACCCGAGATTCTTTGAAATTACTTCAGAAACAAGACATATGTGGCCCCAAGACTCTTTCTAGTCACTTCAAAAACAATCCACAAAGAATCGCCAAAATTCTTAAAAACTACTCATTTCAAAAACAAGTCACAACGAACTCCAGAGACTCTTTTGTTTTATTACTTCAAAAAGAAAACACAAGGCATCTTCGAGATTCTTGGAGATTAAATTCATCACGATTGAGATCCAGACCGATAGATGGGGCTTATCTTTTTGCTTTTTTTGCTTAATACAATAGTTTTCTTTGGGCAATAGGGTCACTGAAGAACATGTTCTGCAGGGTAAGTCTTTTAGATTAATACGGATTTTGTAATTAAGCTTCGTCCCCCTTGTGTCACGATGAACAAAAAAGAATCCTTACAAATGAGATAGGGTGGGTGGGCGGGATTTATATTTTGTATATTTTTTCTTAATATACACAGCCTTCCTTTCACAATAAAAAACTGAAACATGTTTAAAGTGGTAAATTTTATCCCTCACACTTCTCTACAAATTTATCCTTTTAAACATGTTTTCAATTTATTGTCGTGAAAAGAAAACTATCTACACATATTAAAAAAAAGCATAATACAAACCCCTTTCTCAATTGTGATAACTGTTTTTATTCGTCGTCAGCCGAGAGGCGGGACTTCATTGCAAAATCCTTATTCCTCTACAAGAAACTACCATGTGAAACATGTTTTAAGGTATCATGTTGAAAGAAAACTATATGTCAAATGACAAAAATTAGGCCCCGCCCACCCACCCCATTCTCAAACGTGAATTTTTCATTAGTTATCAGACCGAGGGGTGGAGCTTAATTGTAAAATCGATGCTCCCCAAAACAAAACTTTATCATTTTAAACGTTTTAAATATTTTGGTGTGAAAAGATCGTTACATATATCTAGAAAAAAGGCCAACTTTAACTCCCACCTACCCACCGCCATTTCAGTTGTAATGATGTTATTCCTTATGAGCCCCGGAGCTGAGTTGAATTGCAAAATCCTTATTTCTCTACAAAAACTTATCGACTAAAATAGGTTTTGAAGTATTGAAAGAAACCTGTATATATTTAGAAACAAAAGCAAATAGAAAGCCCCACCCACCCTCCCTTATCTCGGTTGTGATGAATTTTTCGCCAAAACATGTTTTTTGTTTTATCAAATTGTTCAAAATAGATCAATTTGAGAAAAAGGAGACTACTAACACTTTCTCCCCTACTATGTCAACGATAACAAAAGATGGTTTACAAGGTAATTTTTGTAGGGAAACAAAGATTTTGCAATTAAGCTCCGTCCCTCGGTCTGACAACGAAAGAAAAATTCATCACATTTGAGACTGGGGTGGGTGGGCGGGGCTTAATTTTTACTTCTTTTTTCTTAACATATAGTTTTTTTTTCAGCAACATGATACTTAAAAACATGTTTCACGTGGTAGTTTCTTGTAGAGAAACAAGGATTTTTGCAATTAAACTCACGACGAATAAAAAAAATCATCACAACTGAGGTAGGGTGGTGGGTGGAGCTCATACTTGGCCTTTTTTCTCAATATATGTACTCTGCTTTTCACAACAAGAAACTTAAAAATACTTCAAAAATCAGATACCAGTGGTCCTCCAGATTCTTTCAAATTACTTCAAGAACAATCTACAAGGAGTCCCCGAGATTCTTTCAAATTACTTCAAGAACAAGACATATGTGGCCTTGAGACTCTTTCAGGTCACTTCAAAAACAATCCACAAGAACCCCCGAGATTTAAAACTACTTCAAAACAAAAGACACAACGAATTCCAGAGATTCTTTTGATTTATTTCAAAAAGAAAATATATACAAGGCATCTCGGAGATTCTTTGACATTACTTCAAAAACAGAACTCAAGAACCTCTGAGATTTTTTCAAATCACTTAAAAAACAATTCTTTCAAATTACTTCTAAAACAACACAAGGCATCTTCGAGATTCTTTGACATTACTTCAAAAATAAGACACAACCACTTCAAAAACAATATGTAAGAAACGCCCGAGGTTATTTCAAATTAGTTCAAAAACAGGACTCCAGATTCTTTAAAATTGCTTCAAAAACAACTGATTTTGAGATTTTTTCAGATTATTTCAAAAACCAGATACAAAGGATCTCTACGATTCTTTCAAACGACTTCAAAAAAGACACAAGTGGTCTCCGAAATATGTACCTTCAAATTTATTCAACAATAAAACACCTAGAACCCCAACAATGCTTCAAACCCTTTCAAAAGCAAAACTCAAGACGCCCCCACAATTTTTTGACATTACAAAAAAATACACTAGGGACTCCCAAAATTCTATATATAAAGTGTTAATCTTAATGGGCCGTTCCTCACGGGGGTGTAACACGTGCAAAACTCGGTGGACGTCAAATTTATTTTGACTTAAAAATTATTCCACTGAAATCTGGCTAGTTTTGAATAAGTAAACACTTACAAAAACTACACAGATTCAATTCATTTTGACATTTTTGCGATGATTAGACAAATTTTATTAGCATTTTACCATCTACATAATATTGCTAATACTTATATATATAGATACATACAACATTTGACAACAGTTAGTACTTTCGGAGATCTGTCTAACAAAAATCCGTGACGGCAGACAAACGGGCAGACCGACAGACGGAAAAGCGTTCGTCGTACTCTAGGGGTCATGAAAGGTCGTGAAAACGTTAAAGTAAAGAGTGAGCCGACGGACTCGATTACATGAATGAAACACTATGAATTCATGCACATTTTTGGAGATATCGCCACTCACCCCTTGTGTAACAACACAAACACACACGGAACTGTCAACTGGTTAGGGGACTCTGACCTTTAATAGATCTTTTGATCTTTTATAAGTGAAGACCCGTCCAAAGGAGTTGTTTTTGCAAAGTTATTTACTAGTTACCAGTCTATTTGGGATGTCGTAAAAGTATTTGTGTTTCCACCAAATTAGGTTTAATTAACTTTAATATGAATGTTTTTAGTGGATAAATCTGCTTTTAGCTAATGTCAACAAATATAAACCATGAAACTATAAACCTGGACAAAGACATTGTGTCCACTCAAATGGCGCCAATATTTAACTGTGAAATTATAAATCTTGATTAACATGGTGTGAAGTCATAAAATCCAGGATTCACATTACATGGACAACCTTGATTTTTATGACACAGACGATTGTTGTGTTACCAACAAGTACAACGATGAAATTTGAAAAGGTAATTATATTAATCCATCTTGAGATGTAGCAAACATTAATGATTTTCAAATGCTGAACAGTCAAGTTAGGTGCTATAATTTTCCTCCAATAATAAAAAAGTCTATAAATTATTACTCTAAAATCTAGAAAATTATTTTTTTTATTTAAAAACGAATGTATATTTGTCAAAAAAATGGTTGTAAGAACATGCCAATTTATATTAAGCTTTTTTAACATTTAGTATTAATCTTATTTGTTCTGTGGTTGAATTTAAATTCTGTGATTTTTATTTGTTGTGTATGCAACACAAATGTTCCATTACCGGTATCTTATTTAAATACATTTGTCAGCAAATAGTGAAATATATATTTACATTTTACATACTTTGTGGAAAAGATAAACTAACAAACTATAAAAAAATGAAGATTCTTCAATAAGAATTCACACTTTAAACAAACAAATTCTGTTACAGATCCGCACTTGCAAACAAAGCTTATGAAGGTCTTTGGTAAAAATTAACTCGTTTCTTCGTCATGCTAAATAAAGAAAAAAAAATCGAACCAATAGTCACAATAAACGCTCCCCAAGAAACTCGCATCATTATACTGATGGAACGTATGGAATAAAAACAAACAGGAAAAGACGTAGCGGAAGTTGTAGAAGATGGAGAGCGGACGATTTGGGCTTGTCCAGCGACAACGTTTGCTTCAATTCCTGCTTCATTTTTCCCTCTGAGAATTTTAAAAAATCCACTTAAACCACCAAATTCTGAACCCCAGGTTGTCACTGCTAACCAGTAGGGTACATTACGTTGGACACCCCAACCCAAAAGCTTCACATGTGTATAACCTACATGTTTTGAAGCAGCATTGTGGCGATAAACACCTAAAAATATAAACTTTAAACAATATTGAACAGTAGTTATCAAAAATTATTGTGTACCTCTTTTGTACTTAAAAAAATCTTCATACACTTCTAGACCCGCTTGGACTGGTCCATTGGTCATTATGTCGATCTGAGTTTGGGAAACATTTTTCTTAATAGTGTAAAAATCTTTACCGAAGTATTTATCTTCTTGATAAGAAGTGTTGTAATTGTCTGCACACCCCTCGTTACAAACGGGTATTTCTCGATAATGAGCAGTCGATTCCAAATATGGTTTGCAACCCTAAAAATTGTCATTATTTTTGTCTTTTTTTCATACACTGAAACTAACTAACTTCAACAGAACCGTCATAATCACCACCCGTCACTAAACCTTTGTCCACCCAAAACTGCCATGCCTTAAGAGAATTTCCAGTACCGCATCCTCCACAATCAGCACAACATGAAATAAGCTCTTGAGGTGATAACTCAACGTTTAATTGTCCATCGCTTTGTATACACAATCTGTCACTCATGGTTGCAGCAGCGGCAAAAGCCCATCCAGCACCACACATTTTGTGGTTCCTAACTTTGTGTAAGCTTTTACATTTGGGCCATTTGTTTCTAGCGTCGAAAAATTCTGGAATGACTTCTGGCTGAACAGTAAAATTGCTAATAGATTCTTGTTTGGATAACTCATATTTTCGTTTTCTTGAGCTTAGTTGCAACTCTCTCGCTGACTGTTTTTCAATAACGAGTTTGATGATGTCTTTTTCGGAGAGAATAGGTGGTGTGGTGTATGATGTAACCAAACAAGAAAAAAGTAATAAATAGAAAAGTACACTATTATCTTTAAACCTGCACATGATAGTGAAAGTTTGCGAAACTTGCACTCAACTGAGTAAAGGTTAAGCTAGTGCATACAAAGTGATAAATGCAAATTAGAGATAACGATAGTTGACTAAACAGATGCCGTAGGTTTACTGGTATCAAAAATATCTGCAAACAATTTCTTACTCCTATTTTATTTACAGTGTCTAGTTCCCTTTCAAACCTATAAATATCCTCTTCTATGTTTCTTGAAGAAAGTTGAATTGTCACATTTTATTCTGGAACACTATACGTGCATTTTGGATTTCGTAGAGGGGGTAAAAATTTGTTTTTCCTTTAACTCCGAAATCGTGATTCTGGCAAACATTTTTTGAGAAGAATGTTTGTAGTAAATTATCTATTTATTAATATTTTTTGGCGTAATATTAATAATGAAAATGTTATAAACGAAAAAAAAAGTAATGTTACGTTGTATTAAATTTTGCCTAGATATTATGTTTTTTCAGTTCTAGAATTTCGAAAATTTCCTAAAGAAAAGTTTGAAATGGGACTTTGTACAAAAGCAGACACACTAAACATAGAAAAATAGTAATTTTGAATATTTAAACAAATATCTCGAAGTTTGTATCATAATTATCAAAACTAATCTTTTTATTTTGCTCCGTATATCAAATGTATCAAAACTTAGATATATTGTGTCTTGGATATATCCTTGGTAAGGTATCGATAAAAACGGAGACCCAATCATGACTCATTTAGATTTTTTGTTTACACCGTTACCATGGAAACCACGCCGCTACTATAGTAATTGCGATGACAGTTGTTGCGATTCGCGATTTGATTCGTTATCGCGACTGCCGTCATCGCATCTTCCATGGCAACGGGGACTTGCGAAATCGTAAATCCAACTTGAAATTAGCCCGTTATGAGGGGTAATTTCAAATTGGATTTGCGAAATCGCAAGTGCCGTTGCTATAATAATTGCGATGACAGTTGTGGCGATTTGTGATTTGATTCGTGATCAGCACTGCTGTCATCGCATTTTCTACGGCAACAGGGACTTGCCAAATTGTAAATCCAACTTGAAATTGGCCCTTTATTCGGTCTCTCTTCTACCTTTCACTATAAAAGTAAGATATAACTATATTAACAAAGATTTTTAATACCACCGAAATGCATTTGGATTACGCTGTGGCTGTTTTACTTTATGATGTGATTTGAAAAATTAGGGATTGGAGTGCAGTAGTTTTTGAAATGAATCGCATGTGACGCCAGATTCAACTAGTGTAATTAGTGCCATATTAGTTTAATAAGGATTTTCTAACCTGAAAAATGGAAAATTTTGACTATTCCGTCAACTCGTGTTATAGTTATGTATTTATAAATTCACAGTTCATGCTAAGATTTTTAACTGTTGATAGTTGTAATAGAATTTAACTACAATCATGTAAATGTTCATTAAAAACACGTGGCGGAAATTCATTTATTCGGGGTCAAGTTATTTGTTTGTAAGACTGATATCTCAAAGTTCTAATTGTTTTACTTGCATCAACAAAATTTCTCACTCGAAATTTAAAAATATTCATTTATGGCATTTAAATTAATTTTAAACGTTGATTGATTTTGACAGAAAGAACCTTGAAAATTACAATTAATTCGATTAATATCACCGTGGACTCGAAATGTGAGATGAATTTTATACTTATGTTGTATTGTATAAGGTGAGTTTTTTAAATTTCTGCTCTAGTTGGCCATGACGCTTACGTCAGCCCTTTCAGTTGTACTGGTGACTAGCGTCATGGTCAATTAGAGTAGAAATTTAAGAAATCACACTATATTCATGTGGTATTTTCTTACATCCAGATTATTTTTTCATAGCTTGTTTTTGAATGTTTGTTCTTAAATTATTATTTTAATTTTGACCGCATTTAATGTGTCTTGTGTTTACTTTATATGTGCTTGGATTATGTGATGTGTGTCCATGATTCTTTGTTGCTGAAAGACGTTACTGTAGTGTGGTGTAACAAAAATTTGTTTGCTGTGCAGTTCTAGTAAACTATTGGAAGTACAAATTTAAGATTAATGCGATACTAGATTAGAACGGACGTCAACGCGGACAGTTTTCAGAGTTAACCAACAAAAAGAAGTGCATCGACCCAGGGACTCACGGTAGGAGTTTTAACTCTGCGTTATCGATTTATATAAATTAAACTCGTGTATGCGGTGGAGTCATTAATTTTCTCTTAAAAAATAATAAAAACCAAAAATATGTTGCATTTGTATTTTTTGACAAAATGATGATTAATGATGATGATTACGTTAATTAAAGTAAATATCCATGTATTATTGTCAATTGTCGTTTATTATAAAATATACTTTTTTTATTTATTTATCATATAGAAATATCTTAAGTAATTATTATAATAATATTGTATAAAAAAAATTAAAGTACAATGTGTAATTTACCAACTAAATTAACAAGAAAATATTTACAAATGCTAGAGCAATATTTATAACTTATTCGATTTAATTACTGTTCAATCAGAGCATTATCGCCTTTTGTATCTTTATCCCTATCATTTAATACAGTTATTAGTGACTAAAATGAGTGACATAAATATCAGTTCTTAAATGAGTACTAAAGCGTGTGAAAACGACATCAATTGTTGTACCTAATTTAGTGGTTGGAACAGTCAAACGAACACATTTTATTAAATAATTCGATCACGCCCACGCTACTCTCGCGCTTCCACTCCACTCGGCCAAACTTCGCTCGAGTCGATAGTTACTACCGCTTGCGAACAGGATGCGCTGCCCGTCAACGCGTACGCACCCTAATCGCCTCACCGCAATACATCCTACTGCATCCTGAGGGTCGTTGTGGTCTAGATACTATTTGAATTCTGGCAGTAGGTGTAGGTTGTCTTCTCTTAGAGTATCCTGGGGTCCTAAGAGACGGAATCAGCACCACTCTTTGAGGCGTTGCATGTACATATTATTGTTTGATAGTTTATTTCTCTCTATCTTTTTGTATAGCGCGGCGTTAAATGTTAAGACTCAGTTCAGACCGGTTTCAGTGACCTCGACACCGACACCGAGTTCGAGCTCGAACTCCACATCCTATCCTATTCTGGCGCGCGCCGTATACGTGTTCTATAATAGGAAAAGAAAGAAGTTAAAACTCCAATAATAAAATGAACATCAAATTTTGTTGGGGATGATTAGGCAAATTTTTGATTATCGTTTTAGTATCTTCACGATACTCCTAACATACTTATATGTATATAATTTGACAAAAATCGGTCCGGTGGAGACCTACTTTTTCCTACTCTACAGGTCATGCAATTTCCAGAAAACATGAAAACAGTCGTTCGCCGGATGGACATTACTTATCTTATGCTCGGGAAGTAAAAATGTATATATTTTCTGTTTTTTTAAGGGTCTAGCTATACTAGTTTAAATCATAAACTTAAAATAATTCTAGCTAAAAATCATTGTAAATCATTTTATATATATTCAATATTTAAAACCAATATTGATTTTCTAAAAAAAAATCTGTCGTTACCCATATTATTTAAATGTCAGGACTTCAATATTTATTACATATAAAATGTTACTGGGGCTGCTTAATACTACATGGTTTGAAAGTTGAGTCCAGACTTCTTGAAGTTGTTTTTTTAAAATACGGCTACTGTAATTTATTCAAACTGCTCTTACATCTGGACATTGAGGTGGACAAAAAAGGTCCAGGAATTAAAGAAGATTTACTTTTCAAAAATCCGGTGGTCCACTTTATTTGCGATGTGAATTGGGATCTAGATTTGTTTATTGAAAACTGCTCGTATTTTTATAGTGACGAACTTTTTGAGGATTTTGCTGGTCCAGAAATGTCCAGAGTAATTTCAACGCTTGCAGAAATGGGAAAAGTCTCTGAAGAGGTGTTAAAAAGTGCAAAAATTAATTTGGGTGTACCTCTTCTGATTGAAATGGCGCGGAACGTTTTCAGAAGCTATTTTGTGGATATATTTCACATTACTACTACAAAACAGCTTTGTTCTCTTCTGAATGGTCTTCCCATAGATGTTGTTTATAAAAAAATTATTGCGTTAGAGACGAAACTGTATCAAACGTAAAACTAAAATATATAGTGAACAAGTTGTCTTAATCAATTTAATATTTAGTTATAATAATTACGACACTGTTACATAGTTTAAAGAAAATTACTGAAACCGGAAATAGGTTAGAAACGTATTAGTGGTTCATCTCGTATTATTACTTTCTGACTGTATTGTTGGTTGCATATACAAAAATTTAATTTACTTTCAAAAAATTTTAGGTATAAAAGCCTATAATGGACAGCTACTACATTGGAAAGAGTATGTATTTATTTATGCATTATACTCGTACATACTACATAGAATTAATTGATCAATAAATATTTTTTACAAAAAATATATAATCACAGTCATCAACACATTGGAAACGGAAACACTTCTTATTGTTACTTGTCTAAAAATAACACATATGAACTGGAAACTGCAAAGCTTTTTCAATAGCTACATATTCTTCACATGTTGTGTTCCTGCCTGCATAGGCAAAATAATCATTTGCAACTAATCCTGATGCCACGACCTTACTCCCATGATTGACTGTCCCAATCTAGAAAAAAAAGTTTTTAACAGTTTGAGACAATTCCAAATCTCTTACGATTAACTGTAACTCTAGAAGTGATGACAAGTCTTCCAGTTCAGTTTTACTGGCATCTACATGCACCAGACCTCCACTATTATTGATCACACAGTATGAGCCTACTAGGGAATTATTGGCAACAGTATGGCGAAAAACCTCAACTTGTAATGTGTCTGCAACAATTTCTTCACTTTCCTATAAATAGGTATATCAGGTACCACAAGTGTTATTTTTCTGGAATGTTTACCCACTTTATCTAAATCTGGGTGGATCAAGGCAACATGATCATTACATACGATCACGTTTCCTAAAGCAGACAGTCTATCTTCTAATGTTTTAACCTCAACAGAATACGGTAACTCACGTTGTAAATGTTCCAACTCCAAGTCGGTGGTTGCTTCTGGTACAAGGAGACCTTTTTTATTGCCTACACACATACGTCCTATTACTCTACAACCCGCCAGTGAAGTTTTCACTACAGGAATGTCAGAAACATCACCCTGTGCACGTCTAGAACATTAAAAAATTAAAAAAAAAAAGCAAGCTTGCAGAACATTGCGAAATTACCTGCAAAAGCCGTCAGATTCTTGTTCATCGCAAACCAGCAAATAGGAATTCGTCAGTCTAAAAAAGGCACCAACATCCCTGCAATTGCCAATACTTAAGCTCATAGCTTTTGGCGGTTGTATTTCTGAAACATAATCATCATGGTATGAAACGCTTAAGCTAGTGTGTCATCACTACTTCCATAAACACAGTGATGATGTCCTGAAGCATTCTCTTGGTACCACCGACGCCACCACCAACCCCTTGTATCACTGCGAGTCGGAATTGCTTCGGATTCAGCTTGTTCTAATTCCCCAGTTTGTTCAGTGGACATGGTTCTTGATAATGGATGCGTGTGATCTTAAACAAAGATGTTGCTGAACTATAAAATTCGTAAACACTAAAATTATACAATAACTGTAGTCATGTTACGCAATACTGGAATTACCAGAATGTTTTTGCAAATACTCATGCGTTACAATGTGGATTTCTCTCTTGATTATTGTTAAGACGTCCTTGAAAGTGGAAACGTAGGTTCTTGCTTTCAATGTCATGGATATTGGATAATTGTGGTACTGAAAACAACTGCATTTTTTATTAATCCTACGTTGGAGTTGATTTCGCGACAGCAGACAGAGCAAACCAATTTTTGAAAGCCATTTTCGGACAATTGTTAGTAACCTGCAAAGGTTGCTCAAGAATGCATTGATAACCGCATTGAAATTATGCGTAACAGATGCTAAGCTCTATTTGTTATTAAAGTTGCTATATTTCCGTTCTTTCCAGCGTTTTATTACATGCATTTAAACTGTTATAACTCGTCCATTCCTGTCTAAGATGTTATTTCTTTGGATTCTATTCTATAATACTTTCTAAAATAGTTTCTGATTTTCTTTACTATTTTCTTCCATTTTTTCTTTTCTTGTTTAACTAATTGTTTTACTACATTTCTGAACTGCTTCTGATTTGTTTTCTCCAATTTTCATTCTCATATTTTACGTATTTCTCAAGTTGTTCCTTCGACCGTGCTGTTTGCTTTTTCTTTGGTTTGACTGTAGTTTTGCCACATGCCGCTATCACAATTTTCAGTATCGTCCCTTTGAACATTTGCTATCTTTCATTTCCATGCTTTCTTGTTTTGTGTCATTTAGTTCTTTATTGATTAGCTCTTGGTATTTATCTATTTCCTTATTATTCAATGTTCAATTTTTAGTTCCGTTACTACTAGATAGTGGTCATTGTACATCTTTTAGATTTTTTTCTATTTGGTTTTTGGCACGTACGTAATCTATTACTAGATTTTTCTTTTCGGGTCACTACTTCCCTGGCATATTTGTGTATGTTTTTGTGTTCATAAAACGTATTTACAACGATGAAGTTATTTCGTAGGCAGAGCTTTTTTCCGTTGTTTTTAGGCATTTCTTCTCTATTGTCCCTTTTCCTTTCTTTTTTATTTCTGATAATGTTAGTATATCTACTTTCGCCCTTGTAAATTTCTAGCCCAATTCTGGTTCTTTGTCACATAAACTTCTTATATTCCATGTCCTTAGTTTTACATATCTTTTTGTTGTTTTATGTATCTTCTCTTAACCTTTTCCTTTCCGTATTCGGTATTATGTTTTTCCGTTCATTGTTTTTGTCTAATACTAGTTTTTTGTATCTTTTTGGGATCCTCCTTTCTCAAGTTTTTTATTTCTGTTCCAGGTCCGTTTCTTCCCATTTATGTAGAGCTTTTGGTATCCAGCTTTTATGGCTGTGATAACCCAAACTTCCCGCCTTAAATTGACACTTGAAAAAGTTTGAAAGGCCCGCGAAAAATTCAAAATTTGGCCTTCTCTGTGATCGTCTAACAAAAGGAACCTAAGGTTATTTTTTTTTTAAATGGCGAGAAGACGTCCTTTCACATAAGTGATCATACACTGCGTGCCAGTAGAGAACGCAAGAAATAATAGACAATTTTTTTTGGGAGGGAGCTAAAATCGCACCCCTCTCTAGGAGGAAAAGGAGCGACGAGCGAAGGTGACTCGTGACGTGCCCTCTGGCTGCCCAATGAGAGCCGAATCGCAATCGCTTTTCATCTCCAAAAACCCCCTATTATATGGTTTATTCACCGACATATAATATATCGCAAATGAAACACAAAAAAAATATAAAAGAAAGAGACAAACGGCGCGTTGACAGACATGCACATATGGAAACTAAACAAGTACAAAAACCCTACGTTTATATTTTGAATCAATGCAAATATTTAAATATCACAAATTTAATAAAACAGAGCAGAATCTGAACTAAAATAACTGGATGCAAATACACAAGTTATTACGGGCGTGTGGCGTCAAATTTAAAATTACGGCAGTCATCAAGAGCACAACAAAAATACCCATGAGCACAAGCGGAGTTTGGGGCCACCGGTCGGGGCTGTTCTCCCCCACGACGGTGATTCTATCTATCACAAAGCACTACCGCAAATCACATCTCCATTACGAATATACCGTACGAGCAGGCCGTTACGATCGCAGATCCGCAGTTGGGTCTCGGCTAGCACGTAACCGACAGCGCTACAACATCGCGACCGCCCCTGAATCTATCCAAACCTGTATCCTTTGTGCAGGTGACGCGATATATCTCGCCAGATCGACTAGGAACCGTACTTCGCTTCTGCCATCTTTTCTGGGTTATTTAACCTCAATTCCATTTTAAATGTTCTATTTCGCAGACTCTGATATGATCGACAAATAAACAAGTGGTAAAGTTGCAAAAAGAGCAATAAACAACATTTAAATTCGCCATACAGTCTTGTGAAATTTTAAACAACAAATAATTGTTATGTGAGATTAAAATTGGACATCAAATAATTTATAGTATGGAAACATTCATCAACAAAATATTTACAAAACAAAACTTAGCAAAGATTTATAAAACAAAGATCTGGTGTGAAATAAACTTGTGCAAATAAAAACATTATGTGAGGTTAAAACTGCAGAGCATGAAATTTACGTTCAATTAGCCAAATACACTGACGTCATCCGAGGTCATCAAGATGGCAGCGTTTGACAACTAGCCGGTTTTCTCATAAGAGTCAATGCTAATATTTTCGGAATTCATTTAAATTTGAGAGTGTGTCAACTGTGTTTTTATAGTTTGGTAAGTTTGTTACAGTTTCTAGACTGTGTAGATATCTGTAAAACGCACCATAACGTTTGAATATGCTTAAAAAATAATATTTTCCAATGTGATGTACAGGTTAACTTCGCTGCATCTTATATTATTTGTTTTGCAAATTAAATCTTTGTTAATGTACATCAATGTTTTTTAAATACACTAGCATCTTAATATTATAATATTTTGTATTTTAGGAGAAAATGCCTAAATTTTATGCTGTTGTGGGTTGCGCGAATCGAAGCACCAGAAATGCGGACAAATTTTATTTTCCTTTCCCAGCAATTAGCAACAATAAAGGTAAATATATACAGGATGGGAAAAAAAGGCGGAAGCTTTGGTTAAAAGCCTTGAAACGGGTGGATTTAACGAAGCCAAAGTAAAGTATTCCTATGTTTGTTCGGATCATTTTATTTTAGGTACAGTAACTACCTATTAGATTTACAGTTTCTAAAAAATTACTACATTGGTGCTCTCTTTTAGGTAAACCCGCAGATTTGTCGGATGTGGACCATCCTGATTATGTTCCATCACAAAATTTAGGATATCAAAATAAATCCACTCATAATACTTGTAATGTTGAAAGACACAGTCGTTTAAAAAAGAGAAAACTGAATAAATGCCTGTAGAGTTTTGAATGCACGAATTTCATTGTGGGTTATTTTACTTATTCCAAAAATAAAAAAGTTTAGAATGGTATTCATTGTTATGGTAGGGAAATCGTCTAAACACAAATTAAAATCACTTGCACTCATTTTATAAGGATCTACGCCGTTTAAATTGTTTAACTTTTGTACATATCTGTTTTTCTCTTTGACAGAAAGACATCGTGCATAATCACTTAAATTATCAATACTTTAAAAACAAATCACACACCTTCACTTAAACTCGTCACATTAACCGCAAACGAAAATATTAATTTCCGATTTACCGCTTAAAACACACGGATGTATTTTGGGTGACGAGGAATTCAGACCAAAACAGCGTCCTGTATTTTTATTTTTATTATGGTTTTTTTAAACTCAAATCGCCAAAAAAGCACCCAGATACACAGAAAAGATATGAAAGAAGCTATTCACGTGTTTATTTTCTAGATAAATACCCACACTTTTAAATAAAATGCGAAAATGTTAACATTGTCACTTATGGAGTTTCACGGCGCTTGTCAAACTCTGAGTTCCCGCCACAGCATGACGTCACGTGTCATTAGCTAATTAAAATCATACAACCAAGAAAATTACTGAAGATAAAATTGTGAGATGGAGCAATATTGTATGAGGTGAAAAATTGCAAAGTTAACAAAATTTACATACTCTTATGTTAAATTGTGTCATGATCCAAGTGATTGGTTACTTCAAAAAACAATTTACTTTGAGAGTTTAGAATACCATGCGTTGCGAGGAAAAAGCGTCTCGGTGATGTAAATTTTGTCATTGCGAGGAAATACTCCGATGATGTAAATTTTAGCGCTGCGAGAAATAAGCCTCGGTGATGTAATCAATCTTTAGCGTTGTGAGGACATGCCTCAGTGATGTAACGATGATAACTGCCTAAGGGAAGAAATTATTTTAACCCCCCGACAGTTCGCAGTATAATGAATTTTGTTAATTTAACTGCCGTAAATGAACTATTAGCAATCTTGGGTGAAGAATTATGCTGTGTTATAATGTAACACTTACGTATATGCATACAGAAACTTATTTATAATTAAACAACAAAGGTGTTATCCTAACTAAGTGAATTTCATGGAATCTTCCAGCAAATGGTTTATTTAAATAATCCTGACTGTTAAATTGTGTTAGCACTAGCTGACAATTAACCTCCTAACATGAACTCTGAACTGTGAATTTACCAACAATGGATCAGATTTACACGTGTTAAGGCCTCGCCACATAGGCTGTGCTATGCTATGCTCATATTAAAACGTTATGTCTATGCTATGTAAAAAATACATTCACATAGCATGAACATGACATACAGTCACAGATGGTGTTCACAACAGCCATGCCATAGAATAGTAGCAATTGGTAGCATAGCATAGTAGATGTGTGTTTATAAATAGTTATTAGTAAAAGCAGTGGTGAGTAAAAGTGGTCGTTCATTTTGAAACTTGTTGGTGTAGCTGACAATCTTAAATAAAAAAATTCACGAAGAGAACCTGATCGAATTACTTAAACTTTATTATTATTATGTGCAATATGCAGTGCAATATAGAAATACAACTTATAAAAGAAGAAAATTGAGAAGGCTTAGGTTAGAATTTTGAATTTTCTCTAGACGCGCATGAGCCAACAACCAAACATTACACAGAAGTAGGATTCCATTCTACTTTCATGCTATGTCGGATTATTTCGAACTGTGTAATGTCTATGCTAGTTCTGTGTAAAAAGTACATAAAGCATAACATAATGGCTATGTGAACACTCTCATTTAAATGTATTGTGTCTACTTCTATGTTTTTCATTAACATAGCATAGCACAGCCTATGTGGCGAGGCCTTTAGCGTCGAACCAGAAAGTCGCATTTTTCCGATAAAAAAAAAGCCGCAAGAACTAGCAACACGTGTTGGGGGAAAACGGTGACGTCATCGGTGTTACGATTGATTGTCGTTAAACAAAGGCTTGCTCCCTTTTATTCACTATCAAATCAATTAATTTAACCTAGCAACTTTGAACAGCGTCCTTTCACCATACGTCCACTACACCGAACAGAAACATAATAATCTCCCCCATGCTTTCAACATGCCGCTCTCTTCAACCAAGCCGCCCTCTCATAACCAACCCTCTAACTAACAAACACAACTACCAACTATCACGAAAAGAACTAAACGTGCACAAGGCCCATGGTAGAAGGAGACATGGTATAGGCATACGCATCGGGTGTGACGTCAAGTGGGGTGAAATTAGCGCGAAATTTAAAATACAATTCGTTATCCGACAACTAATTGACGTATTGGACAGAGCAATGACAACTCAAGCTGAAATTCCCTAGACTTCCCTAGCGAAGCTCACAAGAGCCACAAGGTCGTTGATGCCACCTAACGTCACAAATGGATGCGCAGACCATTTTTAAATTGGTACATCGGATGCCTATACCATGTCTCCTTCTACCATGCACAAGGCCTATGTTTAACGATTTTTCGATTGAATTTTTTTTCTTTCAAATTAAAATTATTCAAATGTGATCTCGCGCCGCTGTTAATTTATTTCAGAGCGAAAATTTGATTCAAATTCGGTCACCACATGGCTATTTGTTTTTTCTCTCGAAGAGTGTTTCTATCTTTTGTATTATGTCGTGTTGTGGCTCGTCCTTTGTTGTCACTAGATCATTATTTTTTGTTTCTTTGTATGTAATCCAGCCTTGCTTCGATTTCTTCTAATTGACCTACTCTGTTTTCAGGGGTTTTACTTGTCTCATCAATTCTTCGTTTTCCCACTTTAATAATGTGATCTCTACTTTGATTTCTTTTTTGTTTTCGTGGTTTTCTTTTCCGAGTTCTTGGACTTCGTTTAATATAAGTTCCGAGTAACTATTAGTGTGTATTTTTTTTTTTTTTTGTAAAGGTGGCTATATATTTAAAATTTTATGATATATGCCTGATTTTCAAATTGACGTATTAGGATCTCTGCCACAGTGTTTTGTGGTCTGCCATTAATTCAGAATAATTGCCAAATTTGCTTTCCTTTCATTTCGTCCACGGGTTTTTTTTATTTCTTTTCAATACAGCCATTTTTGTTATCTTTTTCTATTCATGTCTGCACTTGATATTGGAGTGGTGTTTATTGTGTTGCCTATCCCTATTGAACACCAAGAATCTCCCCGCTCCACCCATCCACAACCACACTTTTTCAATACGGTAAATCAATGTTAATGTTCTACTAAAGATTAAAATTACCTCAACAAGTAGTTTTTACAAAAAATATATAATTATCACAGCCGTTAATAGTTACAATGTAAAACAAAGGACAAGGGAAGAACAATATTGTCATGAGTTAACTGTAACTAGTAGTTACATCTATGAATCGGAAACTGTAAAGCTTTTTCAATAGACACATATTCTTCACATGTTGTGTCCTTTCCTGCATAAGCAAACTCATCATTTGCGATTAATCCGGATGCCACAACTTTACTCCCACTATTGACTGTCCCAGTCTAGAAACAACAAGTTTTTAACAATTTCAGACCAGTCCACATTTCTTACCGCTAACTGTAACTCTAGAAGTGATGCCAAATCTTCCAGTTCAGTTTCACTTGCATCTGCATGCACCATGGCGCCATTATTATTCATAACACAGTATGAACCCACGAGAGAATTGTTGGCTATGATGTAACGAAAAACCTCAACTTGTAATGCGTCTGCAATAATTTCTTCACTCTCCTGTAAATACACAAGTTACGAGTGTCAGTTTACTAGAATGTTTACCCACTTTATCTAAATCTGGATGGATCAAAGCAACACGATCATTACACACAATCACGTTTCCTAAAGCAGACAGTTTGTCTTCCAGTGTTCTAACCTCAATAGAATCAGGTAATTCACGTCGTAAATGTTGCAGCTCCAAGTCTGTGGTTGCTTCTGGAATGAGGAGACCATTTTTATTCCCTACACACATACGTCCTATAACTCTACAGCCAGCCAATGAAGTTTTCACTACAGGAATGTCAGCAACATAACTAAAAAAATATACAAAATGAAAAAACGTTACTTATGTTTACAGGACATTACGAAATTACCCGTGAAATCTGTTAGATTCTTGTTCATCGCAAACGAGCAGATAGGAATTTGTCAATCTAAAAAGTGCGCCAACATCCTTGCAATTGCCAATACTTAAGCTCATAGCTCTGTTGATGAATAATCCTGAAACATAACCTTTATGTCTTTAGGTACGGACACGGAGGGCTTGGGGCGATGTTATCGGTACCTCCATAATAACAGTCGTGATGTCTTGAAGGTAGCTTGCGGCACCTTTCACGCCACCAATCTGCGAAAGTACTGGCTGGTTTCTTAACATCGTCTGTATCATTGTTAGTCGGTACTACTTCTGGTTTAGCTTGTTGCTCTAATTCACTACTTTGAGTACTTCGTTCACCGGACATTGTTCAATAATATAGAAGCGTGTAAACTTAGACGAAGATCTGGCTGTACTACGAAATTCATATACTCTCTGCACGATTTATGGACCAAAGTTGCACAATAGTTATAACAACACACGCAACACGTAAACTGGTAATTGCCAATGCGTGTTGTGGATTTCCCATTCCCACTTTCACCACACCGCAAACCCATCCTCAAGAAAATTTATATTTCAACAAGTATGCAATTTGCAGTGCACCACATGTCAGCCGTCCAACACATTACCAGGGCCGTCCTCAACATACTCTGCGCCGGGGTGCGAAAATCAGCCCTGAGCCACCCCTGTCAAAAATTCAATCAACTCTGTTTTTTTACAGTCTAGAGCCCCATACTAGAATCTAACGTTACGGGTGGTCAATCTAGAAGCCGTTAATCGTTACAATTCGCTTAAATATTCGATTCACACATACTAAAAATGTAAAGCATAATTATGATTGATTTATTTATTGTATAAAGAACATGACTGCGAAGTTCGAATGACGAGAGTCAATAGATACAGTCGTATTACAATTTACAGAGTTACATTTAGATAATAAGAAACAAAAAATATAATGGAATATATTTTAAACCTAACACAAAGTTATAAATTATTCTATAAAAGATATCACAAAAACTTAAAACTATGCGGTGCTATTTTATAATTTATATATCAAACTCAATTTTTCTCGTTTTTGAATTTTACTTTTTTTTTATTATTCTGGCTATTTTAAAATCTATTTCGTTTTCAATACTTATACCTAATACATATAATGACCAGGCTTGTTAATCTATCTTGGGTATGGTTGACCGCAGATAATGTTTTATTAACTTCAGCTTAGGAAATGATCTTCGCCTTCAGCGACTGTCGCTGGAAGAGTTAAATGTTGGCAGGGAGCAGCGTCGGCGTGGCACATTTGGGTGGTATTCTTTTTAAAAAATCAAATGAAGTTTTTGAGAAAACAATAATAATAATAATAATAATATTTATTTATCCAACAGTAGCTTTATACTGCACAATTACAGGATAAATGCCACAATTCCACAATAAACCAAAAATACATAAATAAAATATAAATTATAAAATTGATTCCTAAATAATAAACTCTTCAACAAATCATCTAAAAATTATTTGTAATGACCGATTTTAGTCTGTCTAAATTAGTGGTGGAAATGTCAACATCTGAACATAAATTATTAGTACTTCTACACATAGACAATATAGGTGACTGCGCATAATGGTTCGTACTCGCTGCAGATAAATAAAATGTGTCCCTCATCCTACTGTTTATTATTGGGACTAGTAAATTAACTGATGCCAATAAGTACTCATCAGAAATTACATATCTAATTAATTTTACAAGAAATACAATTTCATGCTTAATCCTACGATTGCTTAAAGATACATACGCAAACTCATTCAATAACAAATCATAAGGATAACCATGTTCAACGAAGCTTCTATGCCTCCGATAATACAAGATTTTTAGGTATTTGCGTTGCACTCTTTCAACCATATCAGCATATTTTTTATAGCATGGATTCCAAACAACAGAACAATTGTTAAGCTTTCTTACTATTTCAACAACAATACTCCAATTTGCTACGAATGTAAGCATTATAGAAACTGACAAGTGCTTGATTATTGAGATCACGTGTATTTCTGGCAAGAAAGCCTAAAATACTGTAACACCCTTTGCACAACGTTTCGACATGACTATTAAATGTTAATTTGGAATCAAATATGACACCAAGATCTCTGAATGTGTCACAACGTTTCAATGCTTTTTGATTAATTGCATATTGGTAAACAATGGTATCCTGTTTCCTTGAGAAAGTCATGACCCTACACTTGTCTTTATTTAGTACCAAACTGTTAGCAGTACATCACTGATAAAGCATGTTAAGGTCAGTTTGAAGTAACCCACAATCTATTGCCGATTCAGTAGTTCGATATATTTTTAAATCGTCCGCATAAAGTAAATAATTAGAAGAAGAAAGACTCTGCACAACATCATCAATAAAAACACAAAGCAACAAGGGACGAAGCATTGACCCCTGTGGAACTCCAGTCGGAAGTTCATAATATCCAAGACTTGACACCTTGATATTCAAGATAGTTGTTCCTACCCTGCAGGTAGGAACGAACAAGCTCGATCAAATCAGCAGACAAACCAAAGACATGTAGCTTATGTAAAAGCAAAGAATGTTGTACCGCATCAAAAGCCTTAGAGAAGTCACAGTAAATTGTATCAACCTGTAAACGGTTGTCAAGGGCATGTGATGCATAATCCGTAAAAGAACAAAGATTAGTAACAGTAGATTTTCCTTTGACAAATCCGTGTTGTTTGGACGACAGTTGATGAACCATATGGAAGGAAATAGGTTTGTAAAGTAACGATTCAAAAGCTTTTGCAAAGTTATGATAATCGAAATCGGACGATGGTGATTTACTTCACTTTTACTGCCCGATTTAAAAACAGGTGTTATACGTGATATTTTCCAACACTCCGGGAAGATTTTTGTTTTTAGCATCGAATTGTATATATGTAAAGGCGGCTTTACAAGTACATTTCTACAGTCTCTTACAACGAAAACAATGTTTTTATTAAAAAATTAAGTTAAATTAATATTTCTATATTAGTACCAAAAGTGCATCAATATGGAGCCGATGTAGCATTGTAGCATTTTATAACTCGTTGTGAAAAGTGATTCTAGTTCTGTTTTTTCTCTAAATACCAGACAATTGCAACAAAATATTTCTTCAAGATCAACAGAATTGGAAACTCATTTTGCTTTAGGAGAAGCAAGGTGGCTAAAATATACTATTCTGGGGTCAAATGGTGATTTTTATTTCCAAAATTGGTCGACTGAAATGGTCGTTTCTCCCAAATTAATAGATATTTTCGTATTCAAAGACACATTGGGAGTTTGCTTTATAAATAAGGTATGTAGTGTCATAGAAAAGATTAAAATCATTTATATATATTTTCAAATTCTGTGTGTGAATCTTAAAGATGCACATCTATTTAAATTATCAATAGTTACAATTAAAATTTTCCTAAATACACTCAACTAGATTAGTCGTAGCTGTATTTTCTTTACATTTAGTAAGATTTTCCTATTTTAACTTGTCACTCGCGCAACTTGTATTATTTTATTCAAACAAAAGAAAAAACTAAACAAGATGAGTAAATCAGGTTCCCATAAAAAAAAAATTTCCGAATTTCTCTTGGCCTTACTTACTCTTTTTTATTCCTTGAGCGTACCTAAGCTAAAGTGGTAGGTACGAGGTAGTATAGTAACCGAGTTCATCGGACCAATGGTCACTTTTATGTTTTCTCGACTCCTGGAATACAAAAAAGCAGTCTCCCGTTTCCGTCTGTCTGTCTGTCTATCCGGCGTCTGTGTCGTTTTTTATTAGACACGTAATGTCCGAAACCACTGTCCGTTGTCAAATTTTGTATGTATATTAGGCAGTCATGTAGATGGCAAAACGCTAACCAAAATTTGGTTAATCATCCCCACCAACAATTTGATGACGTTAACTCAAAGAATTCTATTTTAAGATTATTTAGTTTTTTCCCTAAACGTCCAAATGTTTACCATTAGCATACATAATAGTATTCATTTTTGATAAAATATTGTACCAAGTAACTACTGAACATATAAACTCTCTAATTTCGACATCAATCAGCTTGCCATGTTTCTTGTATCGCTGTCAAACTTGTTGTTTGAAAACATAAATTTTGTCCAGCGAAGTGCTTTTAAAGCGTTGTGATGACCGAATTTGATTCAAATTTTCGCCCTGAAATTATTTAACATTTGAATAATTTGAATTTGAGAAAAAAATTCAATAAAAAAATCGTTAAACATAGGCAACCATGTGCACGTTAGCACTTTTGTGTAGTGTGTAGTCTGCTTGAAATTTTAGTTAGAGGGTTGGTTAGGAGAGGGCGTCCTGGTAGTGAAAGGGTTGGTAGAGAGACAAGTTAGGTTAAATTAGTTGGCTTGGTAGTTAATAAAAGGGAGGAAGCCTTTGTTTAACGACAGTTAATCGTAACGCCGACGGCGCCCAGTTTTCCCCAACACGCGCAGCTAATTCTTGCCGCTTTCTAATCGGAGAAGGCGAATTTTTGAACGACGCCAACCCGTGTAAATTTAATTAATTGTTTGTAAATTTACAGTTCATGTTAGGATTTTAATCGTTAACTGCTTCTAAAACAATGTAACAGACATTTGCTAGGAGTTTCTGGATGCTAATACGTAAGTTACATTATAACACTTCTTGATTATTTACACAAGATTGTTAATAATTCATTAACAGCAGCTAAATTAACAAAATTCATAATATCCTGAACTCTCGGTGGGGTTAAAATAATTTATTCCCTTAGGCAGTTATCATCGTTATCATCATTACAGCACCGAGGTATTTCCCCGCAACGTTAAAAATTACATCACCGAGGCATTTCCTCGCAACGCTAAAATTTACATCACCGAGACGCTTTTTCTTCGCAACGCTGACTGGATATTTTTGTGTTTATGTATTATGCGTTTTGCTTGGGGTAAGCAGTTCATGATATTATAAACTCTCAAAGTATTTTTAAGTAACAAACCACTTGGATCAAGACATAATTGAACATAATGTAAACTCTTTGTTTGAATCGTTGATTAAGTGTGGCAAATATTAATCGCATATAAATTTGTTTGCAATTTTCACCTCATACAATATTTCTCTATTTTACAATTTTAAGTTCAGTAATTTTCTTTGTTGTATAATTTTAATTGTATATAAATTTTAACCTCACGTAATATTTTTATTTGAAGGAATTTATTTCACACCAGATCTTTTGTTTTCATCAATCTTTGCTAGTTTTTTTTTTATGTAAATATTTTGTTGATGAATGTTTCCATCATACAGTTCCATCACTTCAATAGTATCTAATAAAATTGAATTGGTATTTCAAAGTTAACCATGAAGGTTGGACCCACAAAACCATAAATCACAAATTCAATTCAACCCTGGATGTTTCTAGCGCACTATACACTGGCGGCACGCTCATTTTATTGGCGTGATTACCCCCCTGCATTGTCCGACAATCGCTCAAAGTAGTGGTTGTAAATTTTTACATTAGTACTGATGTAGTGTAGGAACTGTATAAATTATCTGATGTCCAATTTTAATCTCACATAAGAATTATTGTTTAAAATTTCACAAGATTGTATGGTGAATTTAAATGTTGTTTATTGCTCTTTTTGAAACTTTAACACTTGTTCAGTTGTCGGTAATATCAGAGTCATAGAAATTGAACATTTAAAATGGAATTGAGGTTAAATAACACAGAAAACGTGGCAGAAGCGGAGTGCGCGGTTCCTAGTTGAGCTGGCGAGATTTATCGCGCCAGCTGCACAATTAGAATAGAATTCAGGGGCGGTCGAGATGACGTAACACTGTCGGCTTCGTGATAACCGGAACCCAACTGCGAGTTTGCGACCGTAACGGCCTGCACGTAAGGCTTGTCCGTAATAGAGAATTGCTTTGCGGCAGGGTTGCGATAGTTAGAATCACCGTCGCGGGGGAGAACAGCCACGACCTGTAGCCCCAAACTCCGCTTGTGCTAGGGTTTTTTTGTTGTGCTCTTGTTGACTGCCATAATTTTAAATTTGACGCCACACGCCCGTAATAACTTGTGTATTTGCATCTAGTTACTTTACTTCAGATTTTGCTTTGTTTTTATTAAATGTGTGATATTCAAATATTTGCATTGATTCAGAACGTCACGAGTCACCCTTGCACGCAGCTTTTTTTTCTCTTTTTTTTTTGTTAGTGGAGGAATAAAAAATTTTGTGTCCTCTGGACAATTTCACATTTCTTACAACTAACTGTACCTCTATTATTAATAACACAGTATGAAGCCTCGAGAGAATTGTTGGCTATGATGTAACGAAAAACCTCAACTTGTGATGTGTCTGCAATAATAATCAATGAAAGTACGGAAATAATGTTTTGTAAATAATTTGCAACTGCCAGCTACAATTGCGGCGCTTTTTGACATAGCAACCAGCGGCGGCTCGTCAGGGGAGGCAGGGGAGGCAGTGCCTCCCCTGGAAAAATTGACTATTAGTTTTAATTTGTTTAATATCTGTCAACTTCAAATATATTTTAAAGATATAGCAAATAACTTTTATAGAACACTGCGTCTTGGTTGTTACCAAGACGCGTTTTAATAAATATTTTGAAGTACGCGCTTTCGGCAGGAATAAGCGCTGATCATCACCGTGTAGGCCAGCTTCAGACGGAGGCATGCCTCAGATAGACGGATATCTTCAGTACGATTAGTCAATGCTGCTAATATGTTTGTAAGAAAGACAATAGTCATCAGTGCTTTATCAAAGCGCCAGCGGAGGCACCAACGCCTACCGTCCTTAAGCCAATCAGATCGAATTTTTTAATCTCACGATGAAACTGCACAATGCTGAACAGGGATGCTGAATGCATTTAGTTGTGCATTAATTAGATGCGAGGAAAGGTGTTCATTGCATGTGCATTGCCAAGGTTATGTATTAAAACTTTTAAGTTAACTTGAAAATATTAGGACAATGAAAAAGTCAGTTTTGCAATGCTGATAGGAACATAAGAATCTCTAACTCTCTAACGACATTGTAGAATTTCTTATAAAGTTTAAATATTTAAGCACGGTTTTCTTACGACGAACAGTTGTATGTTAAAGATTTAGGAATCTCTCATCCCAGATTTGAGCAGAACTTTATTAATCAATTGATTAATAGGTATATTTAAATCAGCCCTAGATCATATGAATTAAAATTTATGCTAATAAAGCAAATTCTGTAGTCTTTGCACCTTTTCGTTGGTTTGTGTGAAGCAATTAAATGTTTTTTATTCGAAAAGTGTAGAGATGTGTTACTAACTCAGAGTTATTTGTATTGTTTTCATAAAAACGGATAAACAATCTGTCTTTTAACAAAAGTAATTGCGAACACGTTAATTAATACCTGCTGATTTTGAACCGAAAATGTTGCCTCCCCTAACGAAAAGACCACGAGCCGCTACTGATAGCAACTCTTCGGCGATTCCAGAACTTCCAAGCGCATATGCCGTATTTCGTTACTGCGAGTGTTGTATGAAAGGAGTTTCAAATGACACCGAAACGTATAAAAACGTACTCTTCATTTATACATAGAAGAGTTGAATACTTAAGATCAACTTCTATCTACATATGATGAAGAAACAATAAACACAATCCAGTTCCATCTATCTCTATTATTTCTTAGGACGCCAAATCTACCACTTAATCAGTAATCACTAATAAATCTAATCTGATCTAATTTAACCAACAAAAATAATAGCCACATTTGCGGCAAAAATTGAACTTCTGTGTCTTAACACAATGAACCGTATACTGAGTGGAGTAGCGTTAACAAGTGAACAACATACAGCAACGAAATTTACACTCTGTATGAACTAATTCGCAAACATAAGCAAATAACATAAAAATAAACTCGTTTACCACGCAAAAATTAAAAATAGAAGCCTAAGTGTTGCGCGCAGTCTACACTAAGAACATGTGAGTTTACAGATAAACATATGAAGTGATTAGTTTGATTAAAAATTACCAGCACACTTAACTGTCGCACCATTTTTGTGTTCTCAGAAATGAAATGTTTTCGAAATATTTTGGCCATACAAGATCGTCGTGTCGTCGAAGACTTAACAGAGGCCATCAAAAACAACAATGTGGCTAATTTTAAAAATCTTTTTTCCAAATCGTTGAACCGAGAACGGAACGAAGACGGTTTTACCTTACTTCAGGAAGCTATGTACCACAATCGGTAAATATATAAAGCTGTTTCACCACGTCAAAATGTTAACATGTCTCTGTTCCAGGCGAGAGATATTCGACTATTTGTTGCAATTTCAACGTAAAGACGATTTAGAGGTTCGCAACGCGGGGGGCGAAACGGCGTTAGCGTCTGCAATTGATTTTTATAACAAAATTGACGATTACTATGCGTTAACGCTAATCGAAAAAGGTGTATCGTTAGAGGTAAAAGACGGGTACACGACTTACCTACACGAAGCAGTTAGATTTTCACCTTCAATAACAAAACTTTTACTGGATAAAGGAGTTGATGTTAACATTACAAATCGGTCAGGTGGCACCGCAATATTCGACGCACTTGTAAAACCTGAAAAAGATAACAATGACGAAATTATAGCCACCCTGCTATATTACGGTGCCGATCCTTTTAGCGAATTTGTAATCAAATGGAATGCATTCGAACAGGCTGTGCTATGTGGACAAGGTGACTTTATACAAGAACTTTTATTCTTATACACGTTTGATGAACATATACCTGGCGACATCATGTTCAAGGTTTTGTTAAGACTCGCAAAACAGAAGTCACCGTTATTCCACAAAATTTTTGAGTATGACGTGGATTTTTTGTTAGGTGACGAAACACGAAAACAAGATTTTGCAGAGTTTTTGTATGATCTGTTTGCCATAGAGAATGACTATTTGGAAATCCTTGTGGAGAAGTGCGATACAATTATAGGTGAAATTTTTGAAAACCTGCTTATTTGTAATTCTGTTCAGGACTTGGATATTTTCCTGGTTGCTTGCTACGATAAATATGCCTACGAAAAAGTATTCAGCACAAACCTGACTTTAAAAAAGTTAGTTTTACTTCTTGAAAAAAATGAGGTGGTGAGTCAAAATGTCGTGGATTTTATTGGCGCTTTACATAGCAGTGAACTATTTGGTTGGATATCTAACATGAACAACAAGTCTACAACAATAGAATTGTTCGTCTACTTGATATTACACGGTCTACAAGTTGATACCAAACTCCCCGAATTTGTTTTTAACAAATATGGTTACTGTGACTTATTCAAACTGCTGCTGCATCTAGACGTTGATAACGATACGAAATTATTATCAAATAAGATTACCAGAAACTTATACAATTATAGTGGTTGTTTACTTACCCCCAGAAACAGATCCGTTCTCATCCCGCCAAATTCTCGATTCCGAACTTCAGTGCTACATTTTATTTGTGATGTGACTTCGAATTTAAACCTGTCTACCGAAAACTGTGGGGCTTTTAATACTGATGTTTTGGAGTATTTTGCTTGTCCTGAATTGTACAAACTCATTTTACATCTCGCAGAAAACGGTAAACTGTCCGATGAGGCTCTAAAAAGAATAAAAAATCACCCACGTGTATCTCTCCTGACTGAAATATCGCGGAACGTTTTTAGGAAGTATTTTGTGACTAAACTCAAAATCACAACTACGAAACAGTTTTATTCTCTTCTTAATGGTCTTCCTATTAGTGCTACCCATAAAAAAATCATAACTTTTGAAACCAAATTGTATAATGTTTAAAATAAAAATAAAGTAGGCGTAAGATTTTATTCATTTTATTTTTAAGTCCCTCTTTGTAGTTAAGTATATACTATACAGGCTGTTTTTGAAAGGTATGTCAAAAAAGAAACGGAAACTGGGCATGAGAAGCACATTTTTATTCTTAGAAATTTAAAACACGTTTAAAATGGTACATTTTTGTAAGGAAATATGGATTTTGCAATTAGGCTGCTCCCCTAGGTCTGCCAGCTAATGAAAACTTCATTACTATTTAGATCGGGGCAGGTATGGGTGGGGCTTAATCTTTGGTTTTAATTATTTCTTAATATACATATTATTCTTTGAATAACACGATACTCAAAAACATGTCTTACACGGTAATTTCTTGTAGAGAAATAATAACAATTTTGCAATTAAATTCCACTTCTTTGTCTCTCGACGATTAAAAAAAAATCATCACACTTGATACAGGGCGGGTGGGTGGGGCTTATATTTTGCCCTTTTTCGTAACACACGTAGCCATCTTTTCAGAACAAGAAACTTAAAACATGTTTAAAATGGCAAATTCTTGTAGACAAATATGGATCTTGCAATTAAGCCCCACCCCTCGCTCTGACAACGAATGAAAAATTCATCATAATTGAGAATTGAGATCGGGGCGGGTGTGGGTGGGGTCTAATCTTTGGCTTTAGTTTTTTCTTAATACACACATAGTATAGTATTCTTTGAACAACACGATACTCAACAACATGTTTTTAATTTCTCGTAGAGAAATAAGGATTTTGCAGTTAAGGTCCGCCTTCTTGGCCAACGATGAATAAAAAAAAATATCACAATTGAGGTAGGGAAGGTGGGTGTTGCTACATTTTGTCTTTTTTTTTCTTAATATGTATAGACTTATTTCGACAACAAGAAACTTAAAACATGTCCAAAATGGTAAATTTTTTTAGTAATCAACTTAAATCCTCGACGTTTCTTCTACAACCCCTTTCAATACGGCAAAAGTTGAATATCAAAATTACTATGAACGGCAACTTGGCAATGGAGTTTATAAATGACAATTTTCAGCTCTAAAAACAACGTCAGTGGGAACAACAACTGCAACGGGAACTTCAACGTCAACAGCAAATTTATAAATCCCACTTAATGCCGTTCGGTACACACTTCTCTCGAGAGAAGTGCCCGAAAATGATGTTCAAAATTCAGGTCGTCGAACACATAAATGATAACTCAAAATCAGCAGAATGTTAATAATCAAAATAAAAAAATGATATTATTTAGGCTTACTTTTTCGTTTTCTAGAAGCCGCGAAACGTGGAGAAAAACTGAAATCCAATAAAAGTACCCAGTGCTTTCATTATGCATATATTTTTTGTAAGTCATCATCATTACAGGATACATTTTACTTTTGCAATTTCGAGTTTGATAAATCTGAGAACTGAACAATGGATTTTGCAAGCACACGTCATTTAAATATACTAAAGAGCAACAAACCACTCATAAGCAAAGTGATTCCAAAAGAACTTTGAATTGTCGATACGTGACCTCCCGGAGAATCAGTAGTAGTAGTGGTGGTGGGAGCAACATTTGGAAACGTACCAGCAACAGTACCATTTTCTATACCACATTCATTCGTACCTCGTATGATCTTAAAGTATCCATTTAAATTTCCCCAGCTTGTTCCCCAAGAATTCGCTACTAACCAGTAAGGTATGTCATCAGGGCCGGATTTAACTATTCTAATGCCCTAGGCACCAAAGACTGGTGGTGCCCCCAACCCTCGCCACGAATAAGGAAGTATTTGCATAACACCTTTACACTTTATTAATTTTTTATTGAACAAAAATCTACCTTCATTTACAAGTTATACTTGTAAATATATGGTCTAAAATATTTATTATCTTATTAAATGATTCCAAGATTCCTGAAGTTGCACAGCATGAGCTTCCCAACGGGTGTCCGAAAGTGTCTTCAAAATGCTGTCATTTTGAATAGCAGATTTCATAAGATTCTACCCGTCTGTCGAATCCTGAAAAAATTATACACTGTTTGTATAAAAGAAAAAAATTAACAGCAATTTGACTTTTTTTGAAAATTTGTGGCAATGTCAAAGGGCTTTTTAAATTTATTAATAATATACGAATTTTAATTTTATTTTAGACATAAAAAAATTCTTCAATAAAAAATGAAATGACGTTCATTTTTATTAAAATTATAAGAACTGAAAACTTACCTTTTCTAAATATGACTGACAACAATAACATTTATAGTACAAAGGTACTAAAATAAAAATCAAATTGTAATGCTACTGCACAAATTGCGAAGCGCCGAAAGCTACTAAATCTGCTACTGTACGATGCTGAAACATATTGTTTCTTAAAAATGACCTGTTTAGAAAATCTCCTATTTAAATTCTCAGGAATTTCGGAAACTAATTTATGGTATTGCACACGGTTTGTACGGCAAACCCACCTAGGGTACGGGTTCTATAAGGTTCAGAATTCCGTACGAATTTGCTCGCAAACTGGCCGCCTCTGCACATGTGATTTCCTGTGTCAGCAGCGGTGACCTACCACAAAGAATTACTCGAACAATTAAAAATTTGTCAATGAGTACTAAGATAATAATAAAATGTTCAAATTTTTATTTTAAATATACATTTCCAAAGGTTTTGGGGCCCCTCCAGCTTTGATGCCCTAGGCCAGTGCCTAGTGTGCCTTATTATAAATCCAAAGCTGTATGTCATCCTCAGTACCCCATCCTATAATCTTGACAGCAAAAAAAACAAATTCTTTGCCAGAAACGTGCTGATAAACACCTACATAACATTAGACTCATTTTAGCTGATTTCTTTAAACGTACCTTCTTTGTAGTGAGATAAATCTTCGTAAAGTGTGAAAATAACTTCAATTGGTCCATTAAGTATGAGCTCGCGCTGCAATTGTGCCACATTTCCGTCTAGAATATTGTAGTAATTGTCTACTATCCAGAGATCCTCTTCGTAAGATTTTTCATAATTCTGATTTGTACATGAATGTGTACATTCGGGAGTGATACTGTTGACGTATGCTGACGAGCTATAAGGTTTGCAACCCTGTTTGTGACATTTAATCAATGATCTTACAGACGGCTTACTTCGCTGCTATTGTAGTCGCCACCAGACACAAGTCCGTATGCCATCCAGTATATCCACACAGAACGAACAACAAGACATAAGATCTTCAGCCGAAAATTCGAACTTTATAGTACCGTTACTCTGTATACATAATCGATCTGACATCACTTCAACAGCAGCAAACGCCTGAAATATTAATAGTACAGAAATATATAGACTTTCCACTCGAGATTACAATTTTAAAAAATTCTTACCCAGGAACAGGCACATTTTCCTTGGTCTCTAATGTGGCCGATAATATCTTTACAATTTGGCCATTGATGTCTAGCATCAAAAGATTTAGGAATTGATATGTCCAGTTTGTGGACTTTCACTTCAGGACGAAAATTAGGATCCGGATGTTTTTCTAGAAAGCCAACTCGTTGTCTCACATCTTTTCTCTTTGTTTTTTCGGGAAAATTAAGGCCTGCTTTCCATGACGCATTTTGTGAGTTGACGATTTCTATAAGGGAATGAGAGGGAACGGTGCCAGATTTTGCCGGGATTATTTGAAGTACACAGATAAGTGATAAATATTTCATGGTGTTATCACAGCAAGCTATTAACGTGCAGTGAGGATTTTCTTTCTTACGTAGTTTATATAGTAAGTGTTAATCTAATGTCAGTTGTCGCTAAGGTAGTTAATAGAAAACTGTTACGCACTTATAGTTTGAGATTATGTGGCATTATCACAAGAGTTCTGAGTTTATCTATTTTAGTATAATACTTTAAAAACAGTGACAATGCACTCGATCAACATGTGTAACAGTACAATAAGTCGATCATATTTTATTTTTCTACATTCTCGTTTGGCAACTGTGATAGCTTAACATAGTCTTCCCATAGTATTTCCACTCTACTTCTTACGATGTGCTTAGGAATGTTTCAATAAATTAAAAAGCCTCATTTATGTACTATTATTATTTTTTTATAGTAAGTGTTTATTTTTACCCTACGGGCTTAAAAGATTCTTGATTTACAATTTTTTTCCTAATTAACAAAAACCAAATAAAACATTTTATAAACCAAATAACTCATTTTTTTCCTTTATCCCATCCCTCCCTTGCCCCAGCCTTACTCTTGTCCTCTCCACTTCTTTCATCCATTCCACCCCTCTTCCGTCTTCATTCAATATCTCTGTCACACTCTCCTCTCTTTCTTTGCTCTCCTCACCTCACAGTCATACGCATATGCTCTATCGTCTCTCGCCCTTCTCCACACATCCTACACATTTTCTCACCTTCGCTTACCCAAAACTTATTATTTCTTTCTTCATTTCCACACCTAAATCTCGCAATTATTTTTTTTTCTTTCGCGTTTTCTCTGTCTAGGTACTTTGGTATTATTTCTGTTATTATCTTTCTATAGTCTGCATTCTACCTAGATTTATTACACTCGCTCTTCTCTCTTGTTTATCTATGTCTCTGTCACGAATACACAACTCTTCTCTCATGCTCACCCCCATTTCTTTCTTTCTCTCTATTTCCATCCATGCGTATCCCAGTCTTTCATAATATCCTTGTTTACCCTTGTGATGTTCTTTCCCTGCTTTTTTTTTCCTTCCGGCATTCATACAATATCCTACATTCCTCTCTTTCTTTCAACCTTTCATCATACTTTACAGCTCTTTTCGCATTGTATACTCTTAATTTCTCTCGTTTACATTCTTCTCTTACTATATAGCCTGGCGTCTCTTTCCGTAGCCCTAACATCCACCTCAAATATTTTTCTTGTACTGCTTCCATCTCTGCATATTCCTTCCATCCCCATATCTCCACTCCATACATTAATACACTCCTAATTAAACTATCAAACATTTTCATCCTTCTTCTTACGTCATGTCCAAATATTCTCTCACCTATACTCCACACCAT